CCCCCCCCAGGGTACACAGGGATGTGGGTGCTCTGTGGTGGGGTGGGGGGCTCTTGGTGATGGGGGGGGGACACATGGGGTGACGCTCAGGGATGGGGCCGGCACTGGGATGGATGGGATGGGATCCTGCAAGAGCTGGACCCCCCCCTACAGCCCCGTCCCTGTGCGCCTGGATCCTGTGTGGCCGGATCCTGCACAGCTGGATCCCCGCACAGCTGGATCTCCATATAGCACGACCCCTGCACAGCTGGAGCCCTGCACAGCTGGAGCCCCATATAGCCTGACCCTGCTCGCACAGCTGGATCCCCCCCGAGCTGAATCCCCCATACAGCACGACCCCCGCACAGCTGAATCCCCGCACAGCTGGATCCTGACACAGTCACACCCTGTGCACTGCTGCAGCCCAGCAAAGTGGGACCCCTGCACAGCTGGATCCCCATGCAGCAGCAGCCCTGCACAGCTGGATCCTGGTAACGTGGGCCCCCTGCACAGCTGGAGCCCCATACAGCAGGATACCCCCACAGCACGAGCCCCCCGCACAGCTGGATCCCTGCACAGCTGGATCTCCATATAGCATGACCCCCGCACAGCTGGGTCCCTGTACACCAGGACCCCCGCACAGCTGGGTCCCTGCACAGCTGGAACCCCTGTACACCAGGACCCCCGCACAGCTGGGTCCCTGCACAGCTGGAACCCCTGTACACCAGGACCCCCGCACAGCTGGGTCCCTGCACAGCTGGATCCCTGCACAGCTGGAGCCCCATATAGCCTGACCCTGCTCGCACAGCTGGATCCCCCCCGAGCTGAATCCCCCATACAGCACGACCCCCGCACAGCTGGACCCCCGCACAGCTGGATCCTGACACAGTCACACCCTGTGCACTGCTGCAGCCCAGCAAAGTGGGACCCCTGCACAGCTGGATCCCCATGCAGCAGCAGCCCTGCACAGCTGGATCCTGGTAACGTGGGCCCCCTGCACAGCTGGAGCCCCATACAGCAGGATACCCCCACAGCACGAGCCCCCCGCACAGCTGGATCCCTGCACAGCTGGATCTCCATATAGCATGACCCCCGCACAGCTGGGTCCCTGTACACCAGGACCCCCGCACAGCTGGGTCCCTGCACAGCTGGAACCCCTGTACACCAGGACCCCCGCACAGCTGGGTCCCTGCACAGCTGGATCCCTGTACAGCTGGAGCCCCATATAGCCTGACCCCCCTGCACAGCTGGATCCTCCCCGAGCTGAATCCCCCATATAGCACGACCCCCACACATCTGGATCTCCATACAGCATGACCCTTGCACAGCTGGATCCCTGTACAGCTGGAGC